CAGCATTTATCTGCACTTAATTTACCTCTATAAATAAAGCAGGAGTCAACCAAATTTTCCATGTGATTCTTGAGTTGAATTCAGCTGTAACTTGAGAAGGACTTGTTCGTAGATCGTATATGTTCGAAATTTCATACAAACGTGATCACTACAGTAAGAGGCTGACAGCCTGATGCAAACTAAACAAACAAAAGTAACAAATTAATATCAAAATGGCAACTTTGTGACCGAAGAAATGAAAAAGAGCCTCGGTCAGCTGGTTCAGTTGCAGCTGGAGAAGAGGATTCAGAAAGAAGTTCTGTTTATTAAAGAAAACCTGCCAGTAAGATAGGATCACAGAAACGGTTGCCCTGGTAACAGACTCAAAATGTACGCTAAACCTAAATTTAAGGCTCACAGTAATTTTATTAATAGTTGAATCACAGAAAAGTTTGTAATTGATGTTTTTTTTTTATTATAATTTCTACATGAGGCCTTTGTTTTGGTTTTTAATTTTAATCTTAATTTCGAAAGCATGTAACTGTTACATATTAAATCATCAAACCTTCAGGGTTACAGTGAATTTAAAGACTGAGTCACAAATCCTGCTGCTCTGTACTTTCTCCCACAGACGCTTTAGTCAGCACATTCAGATAAACACTGAAAAGACTTCAGGACATCCTGATTTTCATTCATTTCTGATTTTGTTGCTTTAATAACATAAAACAGATTCACACTAGCAGTTTTCATTTTACATTATGTAGAGGCTGATGTGTAGAAAACCCCATTAATAACTTAACCTGACCATCGTTTTAAAACAAATAAAACAAAATCAGTTCTTCTTTTATTAGTTTAGCATTAGGATACAGTGAAAATGAGTCCAACTCATCATGTCAGGGACTGGAACATGAAACTAACTTGCTTTGGTGCTTTCAGATTATGAAGGAATTTCAATAACAGAGAAGGAGCTCCTTAACAATCCAACACAGAAAAACATCCACAAAATGTTTCTAATAACGTTGTCCATCAATTCAGAGAAACTCAGTTAGGTCTGTTTAGCCTATCTGCATTCTCTTTTGTCCTCCGAGAGGAAAAGAGCTAGAGGTCACGAGGGGCCTGAAGGTGCTTCTGCTTTGCCTTTTTTTGTGGGGTCCATAACAGTTCCTTCATACACGACCTTGTTTTTGATGCCTTCCTGTATCAGCCTCTGCTGCACACGGAGCTTAGCATTGTTCATCCTGCAATAAAACCTTGACAGTGGGAAGAAACAGGAGCATTCCAGTTACACAACAAAGTAGTAAACAAGCTAGACAGGTGAGACAGAAATGTTTATTCTAACTAAAACGTAAAAGGCACTGAAGAAAAATTGTGTCCTTAAGACCTACCAGGACCCGAGTGTGGTGACCATAAAACCCGCAAATCCCACATCAAAAGACCTCTTCACCCGACCTGAGGAAAACAAGAAAACGAGTCAGATAACTATAAGATGAACTGGAATAACTTTTGTTTACTTGCATTTCTGTTTAAAGGGACTACCATAAAATGTGTACTAA